GTGACTGATGGCACTTTATCCTCCGTCTCCGGCAAGGGTTCAGTTCATTGCTCCTCCTTACTTTCTCTTTCTTCTGTACTTCATGTTCCTAATTTTTCTACTAACTTACTTCATGTTAGTAACCTTACTACTTCTTTGAATTGCTTTGTGTCCTTTTTCTCTATTCATTGTGTCTTTCAGGAACGAGCTATAGGGAAAACAATTGGCAGCGGTAGAGCGCATGGTGAACTGTACTTTCTGAATGCTGGCCCTTCTAGATTACCTTTGTCCTCCACCTAGGCTCTTCGGTGCACTATCGGCTCCTCACTTCATCTCCTTAATCAGTGGCATCGTCATTTGGGCCATCATTCCTTTACGCTATGTTTGGTTGGGGGATTTGAGGAGGAAATTGGAAAGGGAAAGGGAAAAGTTAGGTGGAATGTGAATAAAATACACTTACATTTCACCTAATTTCACACACATTTTCCCTTTTCCTTTCCAAATCCCTCCCCAAATCTCCCAACCAAACACAACATTAGTATTTAGAGAAGTTTTTTCCTTCATTAGTATAAGATTGTCCTAGGAATAATTTTGTTTGTAATGTTTGTGAACTTGCTAAGCATAAACGTACTTTTTATTTTTCAATTAACAAAAGAAGTGTTTTTCTTTTTTTTACTTATTCATACTGATATGTGAGAGCCTTCTCCTATGATTTCTACCTCTGGGTATCAATGGTTTATTACTTTTATTGATTGTTTTGGATTTATCTACTTCGAAGTTCGAACTAAAAGTGAGGTTTTATCTTGCTTTCGCCTTTTTCATAACGTGGCAACCAATCTTTTTAATTCTACAATCAAAATTCTTCAGAGCGATAATGGAACTAAGTATGTTGATGGTGATTGAAGAGCATGGCATTCTTTATGAAATTAGTTGTGTTGGCACTCCTCAATAGAATGGAGTTGCTGAACGTAAGAGTAGCCATCTCCTTGAAGTTGCTCGTTCCCTCTTATTTACTATGAATGTTCCTAAGTCTTTTGGGAGTGATGTCGTTCTTAATGCTACTTACCTTATCAACCATATGTCATCTAGCGTCCTCCAGTTCCAAGTTCCTCTTGAATTTCTTCCTGTGACTTATCCTACTTCTCTTCCTCCTCAAGTTTTTGGGTGTGTCTATTTTGTTCATCTACACCCTCGAACTCGTGGAAAGCTTGATCCTAAGGTTGTGCATTGTGCCTTTATTGGCTATTCTACTATTTAAAAGGGTCACAAATGCTACACTCATAAAATCTATGTTAGCATGGATGCCACGTTTCGTGAATCTGAGTCCTTTTTCACTTCTCCTCTGTCATCTCTTCAAGGGAAGGGTATTACGAACGAGATTGCAGATGAGATGATGGCCATGTTTGGTGGAGTTTTTTTTAAGTTAAAAGCTGATAATCAGAAAGCATAATCTAAAAGCATCCCTACCCCAACTTTCAAATAATCAACTTTTTTCAGCTTATTTAAGTTATTTCTGTCTAATACACTAGTTAAAGCTGCACCAAACAGTCTGGTACAGACTCCTAAATCAAAATAAGCTATAATCACCCTCGAAAGCGGTAACAAACAGACTCGATGTCATATAAACATGAGTTATCCTTCTTCCTTCCCAGTCAGCGGGCTGTTATTTGTAGTGAGAGGGAGCCTAAGAGTGCTATTGATGATGAGCCTGATATTGGTGGCCATTTGGACAAGTTGATTTTAAGACTTATTCACGGCGTCAGAAAAAGCAGACTTCCCTTGTGTCACCAAGTCAATCATCGCCCTTAATGCCAATTCCAGATCCTCTTTCGACTGACTTTATAGGTAATGCACCTCAGTCTATCTCTCCACCTATATTTGAGAGTCCTGTCATTGATTATTTGAGTCTTCCTATTGTTCTTACAAAGGGGGTTAGGGCTTCTACTCAACACCCCATTTCTAAATTTGTGACATATGATTCATTGTCTCTTGTATATCATACTTTTGTTTCATCTTTGTCTTTTGAGTGCATCCCACAGGGTTGGAAAGAAGTTGTTAAATAATCCTAAGTAGAAAGGAGCTATGGTAGAAGAAATGCAAACTCTGAGTAAGAATAGTACTTGGGAGTTGGCTCCTCTTCCTAATGGAAAAAAACCAGTGGGTGTAAGTGGGGGTGTTCACTATTAAGCAGAAAGTAGATGGGACAATTGAACGGTACAAAGCAAGACTAGTGGCCAAGGGATTTACCCAGACATATGAAATTGATTATCAAGAAACATTTGCTCCTGTAGCAAAAATGAATTCCATTCAAGCTCCTCTTTCATGTGCAGCTAACTTGGGGTGGTCTTTACAACAACTAGATGTGAAGAACGCATTTCTCCATGGTGATTTGGAGGAGGTATATATGGATATGCCATCAGGATTTTCATCTTGCTATACAGTTGAAAAGGTCTGTAGGTTGTAGAAGGGTTTATATGATTTGAAACAGTCTCCTCAGGCTTGGTTTGACAAATTCCTAAAAGCTATGTTGAGATTTGGGTATAAACAAAACAATGCAAATCACAATATGTTTGTCAAACGCAACGCAAATAAGGTAATTGTACTTACTATGTATGTGAATGATGTAGTTGTGATAGGAAATGATGAAGAGGACGTGACATATCTGAAAATGCAATTGGCTAAGGAATTTGATAACAAAGACCATGGCCCGTTGAGGTACTTTCATGGGATTAAAGTTGCCAAGTCTGACAAAGACATCTTTATTTCTCAAATGAAGTGCATTCTAGATTCTCTTGAAAAAACTGGCATGTTAGGCTGTAAACCAGTAGATTCACTAATTGAGATTAATCATCATCTTTGCAGTGCGGTTTGTAACTCTATGGAGAAGGAAAGGTACCTAAAACTTGTGGGACGACTTATATATCTATTCCACACTCGGCCAGATATTGCCTATGTAGTTGGGATAAGTCAGTTTATGCATGATCCTCATGCAACGCATTTAGATGCGGTGTATCATATTTTGAGGTACCTTAAATCAGCCCTAGAAAAAAAGTATTTTATTTTCTAATCATGATCACTTAAGGTTGGAGGCATTTACAGTACATCCCGGTTACTGCATAGTAAGAAGCTGACAGTGGTATCCAAGTCTAGTACAGAAGCAGAAGCATAATACCGAGCTATGGCGCATGGTACATGTGAACTTATGTGGCTTCAATCCTTATTCGGTGATATATGAATTGTTTATGGTGATCCTATGACTATACTTTGACAACAAAACTGCCATCAGTATTGCTCACAATCCTATTCAACATGATAGGACCAAAAATGTTGAGATTGATAGACATTTTATTAAAAAGAAATTGAACAAGGATTTGACATGTATGCCCTTCATGAAGTCTGAAGATCAATTGGTTGATGTGTTTACTAAAGGTCTTGGTAGTAAAGTTTTTCATCCAATTTGTTGCAAGTTGGGCATAAGAGATATATTTGCACCAACTCGAGGGGTAATGTTAAGTGTTAGTTATTTGTGTCTAAGGATAGTTACGTAATTTGCATTTTTCAATCTTTTATTATAAACACATGCGTAAGGGTAGAACCCTAATCATTAGAGTGATAATACAAAATCGGCCATTCTCTCTCTTTCTCTCTTTTCTTTTTTTCCTCTTCTTCATATGTAAATCTGACACATGCCTATAAATATGCCTTTTATGTAATGTTTTTTCAGACTTGCCTGGAGTATTGAAGAATTAATATATTATTTGGGATTGGTTGGCCATCTCCCCTTCTTCTCTATATCTCTTTTTACTTTTCTTCTACTTCCCCCATTGTGCTACATCAAGTGTTCTCTAAAAGAAGGGATCTTAGAGTCAAATAAACTTTGAATCCATATATATTTCAGGTAAGTATTGCAGAATAACATGGTTGGTGGAAATACCAATAAAACAAAATGTAGACACAATTCTGTAGGACACAAAATGAAATAAAAAAAAACAAATACAGAGAGAGACAGAGATACTAAAATTAATTAGCAAGAGACAAAATCTTATTTAATTTCTACAGAAATGGCCACGACATTTTATTTACAGCAAACTAACACAAAACAAGAAGTGGAAAACTGAGATTTTAGTGTTTCCACCCAAACATATTGAAACTCACTTAATGAATGATAGATTTTGTACTTGTTTCTATAAACAAAAGTTTTTCTTTTATCATTTTTTCTGAAAAGAATAAAAAGTAAAAGAACAAAGAGAACATCAGAAATTTGTTGAAGAATATGAAAAAATATAGAAGTGAGGAGATATAGAGAAAACAAGACATGATTGAGCAACTTATTATTTTCTATCTTTTAGTTTTAGTACTTTTTTCTTTTATGTTATTATAGGAATCATACTCTTCCTTCCTTATCACTCCTAAAATCTAACCTTTCTTATGACTCATCTCTGTAATCCAACTCTTTAATTTTTGTTTCTTTTTCCAATTCTAAATCCATACATGCTTCCTTTCTTTCTTTCTTTTTTTTGGGGGTTTCCATATTTTTCTTTTTTTCCAATAACTAGGGCAAAGAATCAGATGTATATATATGATAAGTATACAAATAACAAACAGGTGTTCAATTTAAACATAAATTAATAATAAAATAAGAGCATGCAATTGGTCACATGCTTCACATAGCCGATGGTTTTCAACATGTATCGATCATCGATGAACCACCCTTAAGGCATTTTTTTGCTTCCTAAGATTTCACAAACGCATGTTATCTTGCTATATAAGTAATAACCAATTAGATAAAATATAAAGAGATTAAAAACTATAATGACTTTGAAATTATCTTTCATCTAGATATGCACTAATGAAGGATTCTTCCATGACTAAAGAAGTCTTAACCATTTTTTATATTACAGCGTTCCTTTTAGATAGTAAACCTTGAAAAGGATGAAAAAAGAAAGGAATAAACTTGAGCTTTCTAAAAGTATAAGAAATCAAGTCAGAAGTTGAAAAGACCGCTCAGGATTAAAGTATACCTGAACAAGTGGAATTGCAGCCAAACGTGCAGCAACATTGTGTGATGATTTCTCACATTCCCTCCAAAGAAGATTATGAGCTGGCATGTCTCCATAACTATACATAAGGGTATTGCAACAGTTGTTAGCCAATTTAGCAAACAAATCAACATACACAAACTAAAAGCTCCTCTCACCTGAAACCAAGCTCAGCCAATCTCTGTGAACACCAAGCAAAATGGCGACTCTCATCATCAGCGACATGAGCAAAATCAGCAAAAAAGCCCTCTCCAAGAAGCTCAGAGTGTGGCGAAAATCGCACAACAGTATCCCATGCCAAATCAATAGCATTCAGCTCCACATGAGCAAGATTATGGAGCATATAAGCATTGAGAGGCAAACCCGAGTTTTTGGGAGCTGGAATTTCCTTTGGGGAAACCTGAATTTCACAAAGAACAGGCCATAAATGAGGAGAACTAATTAGGAAAAAAAACCCAAACCCACTGTAAATAACTATCAACAATCAATGGATACCCACAATTCTCTATCATCAAAATTTTCAACCGACAACCTAAAGGAATTAAGTAGACAAAAGCCCTGCTATAAAGCTTACACGGGAAGTACAAAACCCAGAAAGCAAGATGTAACTGTGATTACAACAGAAACCCATAAATGCAATGTGACTATTACATGGGATTAGACCCAAAATACCCTAGTACAATATTTGAATACCCAAAATGCAATTAGATGTGATAGGACCCATATTGCTGTGAAAACATGTTCAACTTGGACAAGTAAAGAAAATTGTCAATCGCTTTGAGAAATAGAAAATCGAACCAGCTGAGGTTTAGGAGAGCGAGCAGGACGATGGGGCGGTTGAGAAACCCCGATTGGCAAATTTTGTCGGCGCCAGAGAGAGTAAGCCATGTGAGAGAGCTTCGATTTGGTTAGAGGGTCAGCAGTGTTGAGAACCAAAGCACCCATCTCTGTTAGAGAAGAACTCAATGCCATTGGGCCATCATCTAATTCATCAATTCCTGAAAGTGCCAGTGATTGGGGACCGGAGGGTCCCCAGAAACGGTTGTGGTTGACTGGGTTCTCTCTCCAGTTTTGTAGACCAGACCATTGTGGATGCTTCAAACAAGAAGAAGAAGAAGAAGAAGAGAAGAGCTTCTTTTTTAGCCTAAGAGTCGACGCAGGTGAGCAGTAGGCACACCTTAGTGTGGTGGACAACATGGCTTTGAGGAGTTGCATTTCATGGAATGTGGAGTCATGGAACCCCAATTTCTCTCTACCTTGGACCCTTTGACTGGGTGCTAGGCTGGGAATTTCTCCTCCTAAATTTAAAGAAAAATAATTTATTTATACAATTTCTTCTCCTAAATTTTTTCAAATGACGTAGCTTGCAAAATTAGTGATGCTCCAACGTATAGGGGCAATTTGGGAACATAGTAAAAAGTTAATTCTTTGATTTTTAATTTTTTTACACAAAGAAAGTCGAAAAAAATTACAAAAAAACTAATTTTTTTAGTTAAAAAAAAAAGTTAAAAAGTTAACTTTTTATCAACTTCTCAAAATATCACTATATCATGTTACTTTATTGGGGAGGATTTCGAGAGAGAAATTATGTGAATATAATATTGTTATTTTTTAAATGTATAAAAAAATAAATAGAAGATTTTTTTTTTTTTATAGTATCTTTTTAAATTTTTGGTTATTTTAGCTGTTTGCCAAAATAAGCCTAAGTTTTTTTGTGTTTAGGATTTCTTTTTAAATTATGTCATAATTTTTTATTTTTTTACACGTTTTGTGTAAATAATTTTTTAAAAAAAATATCCTATTTTTTTAAAAGTCAAAATAAGCCCAAAAAAAATTTAATTTCTTAAAAATTTTAATTTTTTGGTTCGGCTAAGTAAAATATAGACATTAAAAAAATTTAAAAGAAAAAACAAATTACTAAAGACGAACATAAAATCAACCAAAAAAATCATTTAAAAAATAAACCTCAAACACCCTTAAGATCACTGTTGGTTTAGGAAGTAACTTTTTTAATATTTTTTTAGCTAAAATATAAGATGAAAAAAATTGAAACGTTTAAAAATGACATTTTGATTTTTTATAAAATTTTGCAACAAAAATGCTAGACACCAAAATATTTTGTCAAAAAGTTTACAAAACACTCACATCCCACACCCATATGAGTATTTGGTAGAATATTTTTTGTATCCCTACCATTGCACCTTTTTTTAATAATTTGACTATTTTAGTCACTTGTTAACCATTCAAAATATTACTTTTTAATTTTAATTAATATTTTTTCAATACACATTCCAATAGGGCTACTTCCAAGTTGGTTTTGTGAGGGTGCAAATCGTTTTCACCTAACTCACATTGGTGCGGGTCATGAAAAATAAACCCGCAGCTACTCGAATTGTGAGTTGCGGTTTATGCAAATGGGTTAATCGGTTATGCAGGTGAGTGTAGATTAGTTAAGCAGGTTGAGCTTGTACTTTTTTCATGTTTTTTGGGCTTCTTATTTTGGATTTTTTTTTTTTTTTTGACTTGTGTACTATCATATTATCTATTTTAATAGGCCAAAGCATATATGTATATATATAATATTATAATATTATTTAATGGGTTGAATCTTTACTTTCAAAAAAAATATAGTCAACATCAACATGAACATACTTTGTGGCTGCGTTAAACTACTACTACTACTTTGTTGAGAGAGAGTAAGAGATGAGAAAATAATGAAAAGTGACTCTTGGAATACTTTGTTTTTATGTTGTAAAAAAAAAAAAAAAGTGACTCAACCTGCAAGGGTAAGAACAAAAAAAGTAAAAGATTTTTTTTTTTTAATCAGTTGTGCAGCATAAACCGCAACCTGCAAAATAAGCCAAAATTACACTGGCATCAATCCATACGTAGCCCTTAAAACGTCCTAAAAACGTGTAAGTAGGATAAGGTCGGGCTGTTTGTGTGAGTCAATTAACCCTATGCCAACCCCTACATTCCAATAAAATGTTCTACCACAGCAATCTTTGTTAAAATGTTCATTTTGTTTAGTTAAATTTTTAAAATTTCATTTTTAAACACATTTTTATTTGTCTTTCATAATCTTTTTTCTAATATTTTAATCCATGTAAAAAAAAAAAAAATTAGATGCACATAATATAAATATTTCTATAGAATTTTTAAAAAATGACTAAAATGTGAAAAAAAAAATTTGTTACAAATACACCCCTGAAGTTTGCTTAAAGTGCAGATTGCTCCCTGTGATTTGAAAAATTACGAATATCTCCTCGTCAGAATTTTTCATTTAACAAAATTAACTGAAAAAAATAAAATTCATAATTGCTCTCCTATACAATAATAAAATTACTTAAATTATCAATTGAAACATATTTCTAACATCATTAAAAACTATTAATTGACTAAATAATTTATTAATAAAAGGAGCAATTTGCTAACCTCATGCGGTGGAATGTAATTTCCAAAATCACAGGAGATAATTTATATTTTAATCAAATCTCAATGAGTTTATTTATAATTTACCCATTGTTAAAAACATAAGAAAACAGTTTACCATTAATCTTTTCAAATACTACCACATTTTTGAACTGGAAATTTCTCAACAAATCTCATATGCTTGACTTATGACGCATTTGGTCTTATATGCAGATGTTCTATTTGTTGTAAAATGGTGCCTTTGTCACAATTTGAATTAGCATAATATTCATACTATACATGAGTTCAAATAAATAATCAAAAAATTATTTTTAAAATTTAATAATAACTTAAATTTTGTTTAAAATATATAAGAAAATAATTTAGAATCAATTAAATATTAACCATTTTTATTAGAGTTAGACTTAAGAGTTTATTATTATTATTATTCATTCTTATGTAATTATTGTGAGTTTTAAGTTTTTAGTAAGAAATACATGTCATTGTATAATTGGAAGAAATTAAGGAATAAATTACAAAAATTACATATATGATAAAATATAAATACATTATACTCTATGGATTTTGTAATTTAAACTTATTTTATCACAGAGTTCATCCAATAATATTGTGATGTCTGGGTACGTAAACCGTCTTATTCTCCTCTAATCATGTTTATTTTCTTGTGTGGGATGTCGGAAAACTAATTCGAGGCATCGACGGCCATTTAAGTTCATCACTCTTGAAGTCTTCATCGAAATTGTGTCTTCATTTTTTTTTAAAAAAAAAATTGCTCTCAGAGTCAAGTTTCTTATTTCGGTGGCGTAATCGAAGTCGGGGTAGGTAGCACCTTCTTGATCTTACAAAAATTGATGCTGAAGCAAAACTACACGTGCGGAGGCTAGAGCCACACATGTGGGAGGGTGAACTGCACGTGCAAGAGGGCACGCTTCACACGTGTGCACCTTTCACACATTTGCGGGAAAGACTAAATCCGAATTATTTTTTTTTTCTTTTTCTTCTCCTTCCGTTAAGTGTATATCATTCTTCTCATCTCCCTCTCTCTCTACAAATATATTTCATCTCCCTTCTCTCTACAAACACCCATCCACTACCATAAATCCTTGATTTCTCAAAATCTATTGGAGTTTTGACCCATGTTCCTTCATCAAAGTTGGAGAGCTCACCATAGGCTACATGTTGTGCGATGGAGATCGGGTTTCATTACCGTTATTTTAGAGTTTTTCCCATCTTCCATACCCAAATCTTGAGGTAGGAATTTTCTTAGAGTTATATATACCTTTTTGCAAGTCTATGGTTATTTTGATGTTGTTTGGAGGATATTGATATAGGGTTTCATTTTATGAGATCGCGTTTTGTATGAAGAGGGGCTTTTCACAAATTTCTCACCTAATCCTTTAAATCATGAACTATAAGTATATATTGGGAGTTTCATGAGTAAAAATCTTTCAAGTATAAGGAAACCCCTAATTTTTGTGAAAACCTTAGACTTAATGAAAGTGGGGAAAATGTTGTATTGCAAAACAAATATGATTTGTGTGATAGTTGGGATTTCTAAAAGTGTTAAACCCTTTTAAAGAGAAACTATATTTTTCTTTTATGAAAAACCTAGATTTTGGAAATTTGGATAATTGTTGGGATTTTGTGAAATCATGAAATGTTGAGGTCCATTTTGAGAAATGACAAAGAAATTGTTATATTATCCCTATTGTTGAAATCCCTTGTAAGAGAGGAATTGATATTGAGAAAATAGTTAATTGAATATTGTCATACTTATCTTAAAAAGATGAATATTGGAAAATGATGAACTTTCACATGTTGTGTTGATTGAGATATCCATGGGATTGATGAATTTTGTTGTTGAGAAATTATATGGATAGTATGATTTTATATATACTTGGGCTATGAAAGGAAAATGAATAATGATTGTGAATATGGAATTGTATCATATGTCACATGGATATGAATATTAGATATGATTTTGAGAAATTGAGAAATATGGATTATCACATTTCACATTGAGTAAATGTTGAGAATTGTGGAAATTGTACAATGAAGTTGTATATAATTGTATCGTATTTCATTCATTTGCATAGATTTGAATATTGCTTACGATGGCTATGTTTTGAAAATTGGTTTATTGTTTGAGAAAACAATTGTTGACCTTGGAAATGTTTGAGGTAAATAGGGTAGGAAATCCTATTAGGGGGTATAGTTTGAGAACTAAGTTGGCCTAAGTGTCCCTGGTATAAGACCAGAAACATGCGTATGCGGGTGCCTAAGCCCTCCGGTTTTGAAGCTGGTAAGGTCGGATTTGGTAGTGCTTGATAAGCCTACTTGCAGACAATAGCCCTAGGGATTTGCCTAAGTCGTATTTACCACCCCTTGTTGATATATGGAAATCATTACATTGATTATATTTTCGAACGAGCATTGTGCATGAGATTTTCAAAAGAGAAAAACTATTTTGAGCATAGCATGTGCATCCGTCTCATGAGACTATATAAAATCTATATACTTTGTTAAAAATTCTCTACTGGGCTTTGTGCTCACCCTTAGTGGATTTGTTGTAGAAGAAGCTGTTGTGATCCCATCAAAGTAGAGGTGTGGAGAATTGTTTTGGGAGCAAGATGCTCTTATCTCTTGTTTTTTTATTTTATTAAGCCAAGGGCTATTTTTTTTTTTTTTGTTTTTTTTTTTTGTATGGGTTAGAAAACCATTTACCTATACTGAGGCTTAAACCTAGGAACGTATAGCCCGTAGGGGCATTATTTTGTGTTTTAATTTCTATTGAATCTTCGTTACATGTTGTAAATTATTCTCTTAGAAGCTTTGAAAGTATAAAGGCATGTGAAACCTTTATGTGATAACC